TTCAAAAGCGCGTTTCAGATCCAAAAAAACAGCAACAATAGTATCTTTACGCTCCAAGTTGTCTTTCCACTTTGCTAACACCAAATTCAATGCAGTTTCACAAGAATGCCCTTCCCGATATCCCGATTGTTCTGGTATCAACAAAGAGTTGCTATTCAAATACTCCAACAGCTGGCCTTTAACAACAAGTTCTAAGATTTTCTCTAAAGTGTGCAACATGTTGATGGGACGAAACTCTTCGGCTTTAATCGTTCCAGCAACTTTTTGAATAGGAACCACTAAGGATTCCTTCCAAATTTGTGGTACATGTCCATTCTGCAATGATTTATTAATAAGGTCCAGAAAGATGTGGCCAATGACATGAAAGCAATCTTGAATAACTCTAGCATTAACATTATCTACTCCAGCCGATTTTCCTAATGAAAAACAAATAACTCTAAGTTCATCTAATGTGATTGGGTGAAAAACTTCAAATCTGCAACTACTATTAACTGGCTGTTTTATTTCGTCAGGTTCATCGACCAATTCAATGGATTGATTAATCAATGAAACACTTTCGACAAAATAATCATTAAACTTAGATGCAATTACTTGTTCTGACTGTTATAATGTGCCATTAAAAGTTATGGACCGCTGTTTGCAATTACTAGGTTTTAATAAAGATTTCAAAATTTTCCATAACTCTTTGCTGTTGTTTTGATGCTGATCAATCTTCCTTTGAACATATTCACAACGAGTTTTCTTTATCGATTGTGAATACTTATTACGCGCGATTGTGTACCTAGTCCAATGATTGTCATTATTAGATCTACAAAACTTTTTGTACCATTTGTCCCTTTTCCGTTTAAGACGCAAAAGATCCAAATTGTACCAGCTGTTCGAGTTTTTCAAAGAAACAAACTTTTGCTCAACTAGTTGATTGGTACACGTTTTCAAAGCGTTATTAAGAACAGCTGTAGATTCATCTAAGTTACCGTCCGCGAATGGAAAATCCAGGCTTCTCTCAACAAGGTTTGAAACAGCTTGCTTCGAATATTTCCTCCAGCACTTCAATTTAAAAAAATTATCGTTATCGTTAACATGGTCTAAGACATTAATCACTAAAGTCTCATGATCGGTTTTGTTCAAATCAGTATCCGTAACTGAACAAATGGAATCAAAATTGTAATAAACGTGGTCAATTAAAGTTCTACTGTGCCTGGAAATACGCGTATATTCATTAACCGTTTGCTTTAAATTAAAAAAAACTCAGCTAAACGCTTCAAATGATTCGAATTATGGTTATCACGCCAATTAATATTAAAATCACCAGCCAATATATTTAATTTACTAGAATCAAGGAATGTCTCGAGCCAGTTCTCTAAAACTTCAACAAAACGCTGGTCACTAGAACTGGGAGAATGATACAAAACACCATAATTACCCGTCTTCATGCCACGTACAACTGTAATGCCCAAGAACCAGTTGCCATCAATAACTTCGTTGGTACGAAGGTTGAATTGAACTGATTCTTTGACATAAATAGCAACACCGCCAGTGTGTCTAGAATGTGATAAACAAGCAGCAACAATATATCCCGGAATACTATACTGATCAAAAGCTTCAGTTTCTACAATATGAGTTTCAGATAATAAAACTAAAAGAGGACGTTTTTCCTCAACAATCTGACGTAATGCTACGTAGTTTGTTGACAACCCCGCAATATTCAAGTATAAAAAATCGAATTGATTCACATTCCTGGAACTTGGCTGCTATTTATTGAAACGCAAGCTGCTTTTCTTCTGATCAAAAAGTCTTTTATAGAGCAAACATTCCGAGCTAAATGCGGCATGGTTGACGTCCAAGTTCATTTTTCGTTCTTTATTCATTTTCAAATAATTAATACATTTCAATACAGTTGACGTACACTCCGACGTTTTGTGTTGTTGGCTGCACCTAGAGCATCTATCACATTTTTTGCAATCCATGCTCTTGTGTCCAAATTCTCCACATTTGAAGCATCTCAACACATTAATCGCGGGAACTATCGAGCACCGATCAAACCCTACATTTAGTTTTTTCGCACATAACAAACATTTATAAGTTTCGACATCGACTTCAATTACAACACTAAACTTGTTATAAGTGAAGCGTGGATTTTCAAACATGTTCACTACTTTTACATCATTAATAGCGATGTCTTCATTTTGACTTTTTAAGTAGTCAATAAAGACATCGGAGGAAAACTGATCGCTCATGCCTACTATTTTTAATCTTGGCACCGAAGTGGGAACAACAGCACTATATTTTTCACCCAGATTGCTTTCAATACCATTTTTTACATCACTTACGTTTGCTCCTGTTGCACACTCAACAATAATGGAGCCATCTTTACCATTCCTAAAATTACTGATTTTGTGTGTTTTTGGATTCAACTGAGTTTTCAAAAACTTACGAGTATCTTCGCAAGGTTGTTTGGACTCTTTCGGTTTAATCACAATGACCGGACGAGTCTTACGATTATCTGGTTTGTTACTTTTACTATTACTGTTACTATTAGTTTTACTTTGACTAGCACGACTATGTCTTTTTACAACATCCGCAAAACTCGCATTTTCTTGAAAAACAACATCATCATCATATAAGTGGTCACACATACCTTTTATGAATTCTTATAGGACCTATGTGGTCCTATGGAATGTATAAGGCTGATGTTTTGGCAAAAATGTATAAGTTAAACACATGAATAAAATAATTGATTTTCGTTTCGTGTATCAATGTTAAATGTTATCGCATCGTTTGAATCCTTCCCGAACACCACCTGCATCTTTTTCTTCCGAGGGGATGGTCCTAGGCACATGTAGGTTGGTGTTCTCCTCTTTGCCTCCATGTATCCACTCAAAATACATTCTTCTTCTTCTTCATCTTCTTTCCTTTATTACGACATCATCATGTGTCTCACACTTAATTTTGCGCTTATTGTGAAACACACCCATTTCATGTGTGAATCTTATGCTACACAGCAAAAAAAATGTAATATCGATCAATGTAATCAGGGTTACTTCCACTCACTTGCTATAAAAAAATGTTTTTCGGAATTATGTAATCATGAAATAGTTAAATGCTAATTAGTACTTGTAAGTTACAAGAAGAGGTCATGAAGTATATGTTCACATAAAATCTGTCAATATTGCTTTCAGTGCGTCACAATCAGCGATTTTACGACTCGTGAGCGCTCACTCTGAGTGAACGCTCACGAATCATAAGATCGCTGATTGTGACGCTCTCAAAGCGAAATTGTCAGGTTTTATGAGTCAAGCACATACCTTACACCCTCTTTTTCTTACTTACAAGTGCAACATAGCATTATAACATCTAATGATTGCATAATTCCAAAAATATTTTTTTCTAGCAAGTGAGTGGAAGCAACCCTGAATGTAATTCAAGCTGATGTATGAAATAATGATGTAATAGCAAAAAGCAGATACAATATTACATCAATGAATGTAATTTTGTTCGCAAAATCGATGTACATCGTACAACGTTATATTACACAACCGATGGATTGACCTGGTTGCAGCAGTTTGGATGTAATATTCAACAACTTTTTTTTCTGTGTATGAATCATGCCTGAACACTGTGGATTTGAATTGTGACACACTTGGATTCTATGTGCCTCATTTGGTGATATCAATAGCTTTGCACATCATAGTTCAATATTCTACTTTATCGAATTCTACTTTACCGACTCTAAAAATGAATCGACAAATATATAAACAAAACTGCCAGAGGCCAGAGCTTTCATATATCTTTTTGATGGGTCTGATTTGGGATTCGATCATGGACTTTTGGGGTGTGCTGCTGCCGGAGTCTTCGTTCGATCTCACTGTACCACGATTGTTCTCATATTTGAGTCGTGTTGATACACACTTAGAAATTATCGTCGACTTCGGTAATTTGTGCAATTCAATTCAATTGCTTTTCAGCTACTTTGAAACTAAATCTCCACTAAAATAACAAGATTTGATCTTTTAAACAAGGTTGAACATGTTTTGATATAATTTTCAAATTCAATAGCCTTTAAAATGAAGGTCAGAGTATTACCGAACGTTCAGCTGTTCTGATTTCGGTAAAATTTACCGAACACGGAAACAAAATCTTAGTGTGTAGGATAAAGTCTTGTTTTCGATGTTGAGCTTTCTGAGCAAGCAATTCACATCGCATTGAAATGCAAAACAATTTAAATTCATGTGTTTTCAACAGTAGTGTGATTCTATGTGCAATACACTTGAATAGATAGTGTTTGAAACACTATAAATTAACGTGTATAACACATTGAACCAAGGTGAAATACAATTAAAGTAAATATGATAGTGCATTTAAAAAGCAAGTGTTTAAACACTTCGCGATCAAACGTGTGGAATTTTTTGAGCGATCGATTGCCAGCCATTGACGGCAATCGAATGTGCAGGAAGGCAGCTTTTCCACACCTTCCAATCAAACAACATGGGCCGGGACCAACGGATTTATACTTCCCTTCCGAAGGAAGACGTGACCAGATATTTCTATGCCTCAGAAAAATTTCACCGACCTCGGCTGGGATTGACCCCAGACCAATCGGGGTGAGAAAGCAGTCACGCTTACTACTACACCACCGGCGCCGGCTCAAGACATTCTGAATGATTGAAGATGTGCATTCGCTCTTATTTCTCTGTTTTGTTTTTATAGGTAATAAACACAGAAAAAAAAACCACCTAACTTGAAATGACAGATCACTGCATCAATTTAGCATGCGGACCGCTTTTCCATACAAATAAAAAAAAATTGTATGAAAACTACGGTTTGAACAAAAACAAGAATATGGGTGATAGTTTTATTTCCATGTTCGAGTGATCATCATTTTAACTACTCGAATGAACTGGTTAATTGAACATATATTAAAGTTGAGTAAAAATCGTAACTCTGGAGAATGGGGCCGACTGAGGTACCATAAAGAAATTTGCAACATTTTACGAAGGATGCATACTAATCAGAAGATTTATTAGTTTGATGGGTTTACAAACCGTTTATCAGGATAGGCATATTGTAAAGATTATGAATATGTTTCGTAAAATTTAATTGGCCATCCCACTGAACACCAAATTGACGGCAGCTTCTACGTTCCCATTGCACACGATCAGCGCTTGGAGATTCGTTTCAGTATCAGTCAGTCCCATTTCTCTCATTTGTTCCACTTCGGCACGATATTTGCTGAGGCTTGCTTCCAAGGTTGAGTGCTGAGACTGCGTCTGAGCGCCGACGTCATTGTCCGCGACCGGCGCAGGACCACCAGATGAAGGTGACGTGTCCATCGGTTCCGGTTCGTTTGGATTGGTGCTGGATCGTCGTTGCGACTGAATTACTTCCGTAAGGGCGTCCATGAACATAGACGACGTTATGCGATTGGAAGCAGGAGCACTACTGGAAGTAGAGGGCTGATTTGTTTGATCGGTGCTCTCGCGGTTATCAGCATCCCTCTGAGATATATTCGACAGAGAATTGTATGATGAAGACCCAGCAATTGCCAGAGCCGAAGCTAGCTGATCAGCAGTGATACGCCGTGCCGAGCGAACCCCGGTGGAAGTTGTAGGTGATGTGTTATCATCACTTGACGACGAATCTGATAGTGCGTCATCCAGTGCACTTTCGATTGTAGGCGAAAATGTAGTAGACTTCGAAATCATCTTCGAGTTGAGTAGCTGGACAATTGAGCGAGAAGCTTCAATTAGGATATAATGCTTTTCGGCTACGCGACGAATTGTTTCAGGCTGTTGCATGGACGACAGCAATATAGGATCTTTCAAGATAGATAAAGCCCACAGATCTTTGCGAATCGCAGGGTTGGCATCTAGTGCATTCTTCATAAATTCCGGATGCCGAACTTTCTGGAAGTTAGACGAATCTACAGTTCGCCATAAACCCAATATCTCCTGTACATCCGCTTCCGTAAAATTATGCACTTCCTGTGGAGTTGGTGATTCCGCCTTTCTTTGAATAAGATGAATCATAGAACCATTTTCTACTCCTTTGTCTTTAAGAATATCATCGTCCTGTAGCAAGTCTCCGCAGTAGATTAAATCTGCAAAATGAAAATTATTATGAATATTATAGAAATTCACTTTGTTGTCGTGTTCTACTTACCAAAATCCCCATCAGAAAAATCGCGTATTGCCTTGCTGGCTTCTTCGCGTAATTGCACTGTTTTGTTGTCCAAGTCGAAATTTTCTACCTTTATTTTCTGATACGATTTGAACGGCAAATGAACACCAAGGTAGAGAAAGGGCATTTTAAGGCCAGGCTGCGTTTTCGTAAGCACAAATTACTGTTCAAAACAGCAGAATTTACTGAGAAAATCCAGATAAGCTTCCAAGTTTTACAGCGAGTTGGGAAAAATGACTTGTCAATATTCTTTAGATCAAAACAAAGTCAATCGCCGACGAACGAGGAGCGACAGCTGTCAAGAATATATCTGCACGCTCGTTCGTTGTTCTCCTAATTGAGTTAACTTATACTCATTTTCATCCTTTTCATCACTTCTTGGTATACACGTCAATGCAATGGATTTATGAATTTGAGTAACTTTGACTCAACATGAAATAAATAAACGTGGACCTCAATTTTAAGTTCTAGTTACCTCTATGGTTCTAGCCCGTTTATAAACAAAAAATTTACACATGTTATCGTGCTGTACCGTTTATGTTGAGGTTTTCCGAAAAAAAAACATTTATCTCGGAAACCAAACTTGGTTGCAATTTAATAGGTTGCTTACACTGAGGCAAACAAACTTAAGAATTTCATATATGGCTCGACTTATGTGATTTCATAAGCGTGACTTGCACGCTTAGTGAAGTTCATCCGAATATGGGTCAAAACTACCCAAATGAATCCGATCTACTTTGTTCATTAATTTGCACCGAGTGGCAGGCGCGTACACAGCAAAAAAAAAATGTAATATCGATCAATGTAATTCAAGCTGATGTATGAAATAATGATGTAATAGCAAAAAGCAGATACAATATGACATCAATGGATGTAATTTTGTTCGCAAAATCGATGTACATCGTGCAACGTTATATTACACAACCGATGGATTGACCTGGTTGCAGCAGTTTGGATGTAATATTCAACAACTTTATTTTTCTGTGTAGGCAACATTGTTATACCGTGACAGCGGGCCCAGCACAGCAAAATAAATGATTTGAGCCCGGGATATGCTGCATACTGTCAAACGCTGCTGTTGGGATAGGCCTTGTCACTGGCCTGTTAATTTGTCAACTTGTCACTCCCAACATAGTTTCCCCATTTTTGGGTAAGTTCAATTTTAAACGATCTGGGTGGATTCTACCCAAATTTGGGTGGTTTTGAAATAGCGTGCATAATCGCGAAAAAGTGAACATACACTCAAAAATATTACTATACTCACAAAGATTAAAATTTAATCATTAAATCATTAAATTTTTTATGGCTTACCTACACGGTAACGGCAAAATACCTAATAATGACTAAAGAGATAAGTGGCGTTTAACGCTCGCACACTAGTGGGAGCAACGCCGTGTAAAGTTTGTTGTTTATTATTTTCCTCTGGCTAACCTAACAAATGTATGAAAGTAGATCTGTCAAAATGAGTTTGACATCGAATAAAATAATTGATTTTCGTTTCGTGTAGGTAATCAAATGGCATACTTTAAAAAAAATCACATTTTTTGGTGTAAATACAGAAATCTAAAAAATATGTCTATGTTGACCATAGCATGCTATAATGGATCAATGAAAATGCTGAGGTTTGACAGAACTGTGTCGTGGCTACCACAGTATTTTACATTTGATCGTCCATATACAGCAGTGCCAAAAGTAGGTTGTGGTGGGTTCAAAACTTGACCATCTAAGTTGATCAATTACAAATGGCATCAAAATTCGATTTTTTAAAAACATTTAGGCATGTGAAAAATCAAAATCTCGGTAGGTTTTTTACACGGTTTTTTTACACGGTAATATCATAGAGGTAACTCTAAGACAAGTAGGTCCCGAAGAAACGTGCTCAACTTTTTGGCTCACCTCTGGTACTATCTTCGGTCCCAAGCTTGTCGAATCACCCCTCGAAACATAGGAAAAACCAATAACCCCTCATTTTATCTGTCAAACTTTCATAGCGAATCAAAACAAACATTGCGTAGTACTAGAATTTCGACTAGAATAGGGTACGTTTATCGTTTGCTTGGGACCAATAGGCTACTAAAGTGGTGAGCCAATTTAAAATCGTTAGTTTCGTATTGATTGTTGGTAATATCCCCCGTGTAAAAAAAGACTTGAGTGTACTGTTTTCCAGCAAACTTCTGTCCAAACAGATTTACTGGAAAACCAGCCAAATTTATTTTGCTGGAATGATTGCTGGCTAGCAAAATTTTGCTGGTGCCCTGCAATAAAAAATGAGTGTGTGGGATTGAACATATACCCATTAGGGTCAGAAGCAGTCACGCTTACCACTACACCACCGGCGCTGGCACAACAGTCTAGTCCACAACACTCAACTTTCTTTCTTCTTTCCTTTATTTAACGTCGGTCTCTGTTCCGCAATCTAGTGCCAATCACCGACGGACATCGATTGCCACGTAGGACATCGCACCTAGTAATCCTGTATATACCCTAATAAACGGGTATCATACACTAACGATATCAAAGATGGTACGACCATATCACATAAAGTTGGGATGATATCCCGAATTGGTGGTTAGGCGCTTCTTATGGTTTTTGTTTACGCGGTCAGGATTACTATTCGCACCCATTAAACACACATGGGCCGGGACTGGTTATAACATGTGATAACGGTTGTCAAATGATTGCAACGCTAAGCGGCGCCGGTGGTGTAGTGGTAAGCGTGATTACCTCTCACCCCAGCAGGCCTGGGTTCAATCCCAGTCGGCGCCGCCGGGATGTTCTGAGGCATATCATCTCTGATCATGCCTTCCTTCGGATGGGAAGTAAAGCCGTTGGTCCCCGGTTCATGAGTTGATGGGTCGATAGGTAGGATCCAGGTGTGGGAGCTGCCTCCCTGCCGTCGCTAGCATTGGTGCACAGCACGGAAAACAAGCTCGACGGAAAACAAATCAAAGGAAAAAAAAAGAGTCCTCTCCAGGCGGGTTCGTATTGGTGCGATTTGCGTGTGTTAGTGAGATGAATTTTTTTGTAAGCTGTGAGAATTTTTTTGTTTGCTGTAAGAACTGTCTTTCTAAAGTCAAAATAAACCGAGGAGGGCGACACATCTAAAATGGCATGTAGATAGCAAACAGTATCAATATCTTTTTTTGGATCAGTGTATTTCTATCAGATTTCACTCTCTAGTATTCGCTGCATCTACTTTTTCGATGCTGCAGAAGATGCAAAAGATAAAGGTATATTTTCTGGTAGATGGCAACAGCGATAACGATTTATTGAGAAAAATGTATTTGGAGTTTGATTGCGCAGTGTGCGTTGGTTAAGTTATCAGCGAATATTAAGCATTTCTTACTAATAATTAGTATTACTCGCTACCGTTTTTACAACCCGGCATTCACTCTGTTATGTAAAGTTAGCGAGAATCCTCATAACGAAGCCTTTTCCAAATATTGTCTACACAAAACCCCGGCAGCAGAGTACGGAAGTGTATGTGCTGCGAAGTGCATCTGAGTAAATATCATTGGCCGAAGATAAAGTAGGGACTTGCACGCAAGTCGTATAAAAAGTTTAAAAATGCGCAAAATTTAGAAAAATACGTTGTTATTTGCAGAGAACTTGAGGCAGAAATATCGTCAGCATATGCGAATTACAATTCGAGAGTAGAGAACAATATAAAATCTGATCCCAAAACGTTCTTTAACTTCACGAACGAAAAAATGAAGTCATGTACATTCCCATCACGCATGCAGTTTGAAGAGTTTGATAGCACTGATAGTGAGGATATTTGTAACCAATTTGCTCGCTTTTTCCAAAACATATATAAGAAATCCAGTAATGCTCTTGATTTGAACTATTTTTCTTACCTACATGAAGGGGAAAATGACGTATCAGTTAATAATATCACTGTTCAAGAAATTTTTATGACTCTTGAAAGTCTCGATGCCGGCAAAGGACCTGGTCCTGATGAAATACCTCCATTTTTATTGAAAAAATTAGCAACTAGTTTTGTTAAACCATTGTTTTGGCTTTACAATTTATCTCTCAAAACAGGTGATTTTCCAAAAATTTGGAAGAAATCATTTTTAGTCCCAATATTTAAATCTGGCAAACGGTCTGACATTAAAAACTATAGAGGTATTGCAATTATTTCATGCATTCCTAAAATGTTTGAAGCAATTGTTAACCAAAAAATATTTAACCAGGTTAAGCATCGCATTTCAAATAATCAACATGGTTTTTTTTAAAGGTCGGTCAACGTCTACTAATCTTTTGGAATTTGTAAACTTTTCTATTGAAGCAATGGATAGAGGCAATACGGTTGAAACCTTATACACTGATTGTAGTAAGGCCTTTGACAGAGTAGACATTCCCTTACTTCTTTTTAAATTAAAACGTTTAGGTATGACAAGTACACTTTTAAAATGGATTGGATCATACTTGACAGAAAGAACACAGATGGTCCGCTTTAAAGGAAAAATATCTTCGCCAGTTAATGTTACCTCGGGAGTTCCACAGGGATCTCATTTAGGTCCTTTATTATTTATTTTATTTGTGGATGACGTGAAGTTTGTGTTAAATCGTTTAAATGTGCTCATATATGCTGACGATATGAAACTGATGGGACGAAAGATGCAAGATTCGAGAGTAGATGAAAGTAGATGACACAGATATAAACAGATAGCGTACGGTAAATAAATAAATAAAGATATGTGTGATTCTTGGTGTGATTAATGATGAAGATAAGATAATGTAGATGTGTCGCCCCCCTCGAAATAAACAACAAAACGAAAACAAACCCTACGCTTGCACGGTAACAGTAAAATACCCTTTTATGAGTAAAAGTTAACCCATTTTTAATAAAAGTGGCTTTACTCATTAATGAGTAAATTATTTTAACAATAATGAGTTTCTGCTAACAGTAGCTAACAGTTAGTACTTAATTGGTATAATAAATTACTCATTAATTATCATTGTCACTTTTATTGACAATGGGTTCACTTTTACTCATAAATGGATGTTTGATTCTTACCGTGCACATGACAGTATACGCTAGTGTGTGTAAAATTATATTATTAGTGTAGTGTTCGTGAGATCCTGCTTGGAGAACTCAATAGGGTATACCGAGGGGGCAGCAAATCCACAAAATTACCTTGCATACGGCGGTATTCATTGGATGAAAGTGACCGTGAAAGAGGACACTAAAATAGAAAGCTTTTTTTCCGACAGTTTAATCTTAGGCTGTGAACCATTTACCGAGTTAAATTTAACTC